TGCTTGGTAGCCTTCCCGCTCCTATGATGCTGCTTGGTAGCCTTCCCTGGCCTCCTGTGTTCATCCAGCTCTACACCTTGTTATCTCAGATTCTCCAGCATCTGCAGTTCCTACCATCTCTGCCAAATATAAATGACTTGCGTCCAAAAACAAAGACTCTTCTCCTGCCTTAATGCATTTTCTTGCTACACAGCTTAACATTGCAGGGCTCCTTCACATACATTTCATAAGATTCCATCTCCCCCAGCAGAAACAAGTTGTCTTGTGAGCATCAGAATCTCAAAGTGAGAATCATTGTTTTGTGAAGCACTAAATCAGATCTGAGGTGCTGAGTTTATTTAAAGACATTGGAATGGTCTAACTTTTCACAGCTTTAGAGCAGCTGACACAAGTTGAGATTTTAAAGATAATTTTCTTTCACAATTTTTCACACTTTTAATTTCTCACAATCTAAGAGCTCAAAAAAAAATCCAACTTGCAAGCAGTAATGCTAAGTGTTTATTATAGCTTGGATACCACAACTGCAAACCACAGAACAAAATGTCTTTTCAACTAATGAAAGATACAATTTGGTCATTTTAGCTTGATTGATCTCTTCATTATAATACTCACGACACAATGTAAATTATAAAGAAAATAATATTTCAGTTGTTGACTGCACCTCCTAATTTACAGTCTCAACAGCACCTCAGATCAGCTGGAGATTTCAGGGTCACTATTATCTATCTCACTGCTCTGTGTGATTAAAAGAACAGAAAACTGAAATGTTTACCTCCTCCTCTTCCTGTTTTTTCCGTGCTGCTTCTTCTTTTTCCTTTTTCAGCCGGAATTCCTCTTGTGCCTGCTGTTCTTTTTCCAGCCATTCTACATGTAAGCGCTGCCTAACACATGACACAGGGAGAAGGGTGGAGAGAATTACCGCAACCCTTATAGAGTCATACAACATGGAAACACACTCTTCGGTCCAACTCATTCACGCCAACCAGACATCCCAATCTAATCTAGTCCCATTTGCCAGCATTTGGCCCATATCCCTCTTAAACTCTTCCTATTCATGTACCCGTCCAGATATCTTTTAAATGTTGTAAGTATCCCAGCTTCCACCAGTTCCTCTGGCAGCTCATTCCATGCATGCACCACTGCCTGCACGTCGACCCCTCAGGTCCTTTTTAAATCTTTCTCCTTTCACTTTAAACCTATAGTTTTGCACTCTACCCTGGAAAAAGGACCTTGGCTATTTACGCTATCCACGCCCCTTGTGATTTTATGAACCTCTATAAGGTCACCCCTCAGTCTCCAACACTCCAGGGAAAAAAGCCCCAGCCTATTCAGCCACTTCCTGTAGCTCAAACCCTCCAATTCAGGGAACATCCTTGTAAGTCTTTTCTGTACCCTCTTAAGTTTAACAACATCCTTCCTATAGAAGGGCGACCACAATTATATGCAGTATTTCAGAAATGGCTTCAATGACCTGTACAGCTGCAACATGACTTCCCAACTCCTATTCTCAATGTTCTGACCAATGAAGGCAAGCATGCCAAACACCTTCTTCATCACCCTGTCTACCGTGTGTGGCTCGGTGGCTAGCACTGCTGCCTCACAGCACCAGGGACCCAGGTTCAAATCTACCCTTGGTTGACTGTGCAAACTCCACACAGACATTCTCCCTGTGTCTGCATGAGTTTCCTCTGGGTGCTCCAGTTTCCTCCCACAGTCCAAACATGTGCAGTTCAGGTGAATTGCCCATGTTAAATTGTCCATAGTGTCTAGGGATGTGCAGGCTAGGTGGGTTAGCCATGGCTATGCAGGGTTTCAGGTGGGTAGGGGAATTGGGTCTGGGTGGGATACCTTCAGAAGGTCATTGTGGACTCGACGAGCCACATGGCCTGCTTCCACTATGTAAGGACTCCACCTTCAAGGAACTATACACCTACACCCCTGGGTCTCTGTTCAGCAACACTCCTTAGGGCCCTATCATTAAGTGTATAAGTCCTGCCCTGGTATGCCTTACCAAAATAGAACACCTCACATTTATCTAAATTAAATGCCATCTGCCACTCCTCAGCCCATTGGCCCATCAAGGTCCTGTTGTACTGTGAAGTAATCTTCTTCATTGTCCATTACACGTCCTGTTTTGGTGTCAGCTGCAAACTTACTAATCATTCCTGCTACATTCACATCCAAATCATTTATATAAATGACGAAAAGCAGCGGATTCAGCATCGATCCTTGTGATACACCGCTGGTCACAGGCCTCCAGTCTGAAAAACAACCCTTCATGCCAATTTTGTATCCAATTGGCTAGCACCCCCAGATCCCATGTGAGCTAACCTTACTAATTAGCCTACTATGTAGAACCTTGTCAAACGCTTTGCTGAAGTCCATATAGACAATGTCTACCGCTCTGCTTTCATCAATTTCTTTGTCACATCTTCAAAAAACCCAGTCAGCAATACAAAACAGGAGTGCTAATAGCTGAAGATTAATACAGGAGATACGTGTCCAGGTTTGGTCTCTATATCCATAGAGTCACTGGCACATCAGAAAAGGGACATGGAAATTAACATTACAATATATTAAAAGCAATCAAACCCAAATCAACCAATTGAGTTTATTTACTCCTCAGGAACTACAGCAATCCACATCACTGACAGTTCAACTATTTCCATTTAATTTAAAAGAGGAGAAACTCATTTTAAAATTTTAACATTTAAAGATTTAACATTTAAATAACACAGTCTTTGACAGATGCTTTAAACAGTAGTTGCCAACAATCCTCACTCTAATAGGAATTTGAGACCTTTTTTTTGTAAAGTGAAAGGCTTATAGATCTCAAAGGGTTACTGACCTTTCAGCCTCCAACTCTCTTTCTTCTTCCTCAAGGTTTTCTGCCTCTTCTATCTCCTCTTCATTAGCCAATTCTGAAACAGAATTAAAATAATACCACAATTGTAGCTGGCACAAAGAGAAAGTGTATAAAATCTGCATACATTGGCATTCATCATTTTTAGTGTGGTATATATTAAAGAACTGCTGATACATTTATATTTTCCCTACGCTTCAAGACCCAATCTCAGCATGGTCACTGGAAAACCTACAATATCAACTGAGAGAGGGAGGGGGAAGAGCTTCTGAAAGTCTTCTGGATCAGAATCCTGGAGTGTCCCAATATGCAAAGGTCTGCAGTTCAAGGCAACAGCTCAACAGTACCTTTTATAGGGCAATTCAGAATGGGCATTAAATGATAGCCAGTGATGTCCACCTTCCATGAACAAATAAAAACAATGTCATAAACAGCACTCAATCCTAAAATAATGCTATGTACATTCTACCATTCAGCCTCAGCATTCTCTCTAACTGTTCCAGAACATAAGGTCCACACTCACCTTGTCCTGGTCTCTCCGATTCCCTCCTATAGCCCAGCAACATCTCCCAGTTTCTCAGTCCTGCCTGACTCCTTTACCAGCCCAAACCCCTATCAGATGCCCCTCCTGGACACCCACCACACCCTTCCAGACCATCTCACCCCTCCTGGACCTCTGCCAAGGTCCTCCCTCTCCCCTCCAGGGCTCCAACACGCTGCTCCCACTCTGGTTCCAGGAATTCTTCTGCACCCACCGCCTCCCAATCTCTGGTCTCCCACCTCCCTGGGCTCCTTCCTTGTCCCAGGTCCCTCTCTCCCACCTACTCCTTGGTCACCCATGGGTCCCACTCTTCCAAGTTCCACCATAACACGCCCCACCTCCCAGGAACTCCAGGCACCCCACCACCAACATCCCAACTCTGTGTTAGTCCCACACCTTGGCTACCCCCTTCCCCACCATAATCCTCCACTCCCTGACCTAACCTGGATACCCTCCCTCTTCCCCACCCCCAGGATCTTTCCCTGATCTCCCTTCTCCACACCCCACAACCCCAAACTCTCTGGCTTGCCCTCCCTTCTGGCCGGGCTCCTACCTGCCTGCCGCTGTTTGGCCTCTTCCTGCCGCCTCCTCCGCCGCTTCTCCTTCTTCAGCAATGCTCGTGCCTTCCTGTGACTGCAATGACAGAAAGCAACAGTGAGATAGAGGAAGACAGAGACAGCGAGTGCGAGTGAGTACAAGAGCTTGAACAGGTCAGAGGCTGAAAGAGAGCGAGTGTACATTTATCTCTCTCACACTATATTTTTCTCCCTCTCTCTTTTACAGACTCAGTACCTTCTCCCTCAGTGTATATTTCTCTCACATTGTGTGCATGAACTGCACATAATCTGTACATTTCTCTCACACTATATTTCCTTCACACAGAGCATATTTTCTCAATGTGTATTTTGCTCACACATATTGTATGTTCCTTCCCTCTCACATACAATGTGTATTTCTCCCTCTCACCCACACCCAATGTGTTTTTCACCCTCACACAGTTTATACTTTTCTCTCACACTGTCAGTCTATCTTTCTCGCGCATACTCAGTGCTTTTTCCTCTGTCTCACTCTCCCACAAAGGGTGTATATTTCTCACACGTACACACAGCGCACATTCCACTGTCACATGCGCACACAGCACACGTTCCTCTCTCAAGTACAGCATGCACAAATTTCTAGTCGCTCAACTCTCTCACGCTGACACACAAATTTCTGGTTGCTCAACTCTCACTCGCGCTGGCACGCGCACACCGTGTACACGTCTCACTCGCGCTGGCACGCGCACACCGTGTACACGTCTCACTCGCGCTGGCACGCGCACACCGTGTACACGCGCTCACTCGCGCTGGCACGCGCACACCGTGTACACGTCTCTCGCGCGCTGGCACGCACACATACCGTGTACACGTCTCACTCGCGCTGGCACGCACACACCATGTACACTTCTCTCTCGCGCTGACGCACACACCATGTACACCTCTCTCGCGCTGACACACACACACCGTGTACACTTCTCTCTCATGCTGGCATGCGCACACCGTGTACACTTCTCTCTCGCGCTGGCACGCACGCACACCGTGTACACTTCTCTCTCGCGCTGGCACGCGCGCGCACACACCGTGTACACTTCTCTCTCGCGCTGGCACGCGCGCGCACACACCGTGTACACTTCTCTCTCGCGCTGGCACGCGCGCACACACACCGTGTACACTTCTCTCTCGCGCTGGCACGCGC